ATTCTAAATTGTCATTCAGACTAAGGATGATTATTTCCTTAGAAATTATGCATGGACAAACACATGTACATGCGATTGATAATGAAAATAATTTTATTTTTAGTACTTGAGTTATAGTTTTAAAATCTGTCGGTGAGATTTAACTTAATCCCTTGAGCATTTAAGAACCATTTCTGAGACCATCACCAAAAGATTAGCACTTGCTTTTCATTGACAGGATGCCCCATAAGAAAGATGTTTATCTGTAGGGGTGCTGGATTTCCAAATTGAAATAATGTCTGTTGTAAGCTCTTGGAATATATACGCTTTGTGAAATAGAAAAAGAATGGAACAGTGCCTTTTCATACAGCTCATGGCACAGATACGTGGCAGTTTACACAGGTAAAAATTACACGTTGGCAAAGCTACACAGAAACTCATTTCCTATCAGATAAGAATATAAATTTTTGAAGATAAATAAAGTTGTAGTAGTTCTTGTAACAAATGCTCAAAGTAGGTTATTATTCAGGAATAGCATCGTATTCTAACGTGTATGCCTGCTGCCAATGTTTGTTAGAGGGTAACGGAGGTTACCTGAGGGGTTATTCTTTCCGGGTTTGAAAAGCCCAAGAGGAACTCAATCATACTTGGTATTCCAAGATGTTAGCATGTGAGGCTGCTCAGTCTCTGCTTCCTGTAATGAGGCCTTTATGAGAGAACTGTTTGTGATTTACTAGACGTAAACTCTTGTCTGTGTTAGCAGATCTTTGCCAACCTCATGCCTATCCCAACAAACAAAAACTGTGTTACTGATTCTCCTCTCCCCGTGTGTACTTCAATGTGGTCCTGTTCCTGTCAGTGTATTTTCTTCAGATTTATATAGCACAAATAGAAGAATAATCGGATCCTTTCCTCTGGTTTTATCTATGGACTGTGAATCAACTGACTTATTTTAAAGCAGTTGTGATTCAATGGGGATGTTTTTAATTTGCTGCCTGTTCTCTTTACCTCTGAGGAAAGAATTTTGTAAATGCTGAATAATTTTAGAACATGTTTTCTTGGTTAAGGGTTGGATCATATTTTAAATTAGTTTTAAGAGGAAGGAAATAGTGTAAATGCTGTGGAATTCAGATAAGCACTGTGCGTAGGAAACAAGTACTTTAATTTAGGGTGCCTAGAATTGGTAGGTCAAGCTGATGATAATAAAGGACCAGATCTTAACTTTGGTTCAGAAAACATGTAATCAATATTCACTCTCCTGTGTTATTTCCTCTTTGCTCGAGAATTTATTTTGGTTAAACTGAAGTGTGCAATTGCTCAGATATTCCACAGGGTGTCACGAGGCAGTTGTTAGAATCATTAATACTTGGATGAAAGTAAGGAAAGAAACTCAGTGTGCAGTCTGCTGAATGCCAGTTAATGTAATTTTAGATGTGACTAATACACATGCCATAAAATAAAAAGTTCTTAACTCATTAACACATGTATCTTATTTCTGTATCTGTATAAAACATACACATGAAGAAAAATATTACTAGAGATCGTTTACAAGAACTATTCCATGCCAAGTTTTCACCAAACCATTTCTAAATATACCTTAATGTTTTATAGCTTACAGAACAAGTGGAATAATTTTCCCTGGAGTAGTAATCTGACATACCAGACCATGTATGTATATAATAGTAATTTAAAAAATGCAACATTTGCATTTTTCTTGCTGATGTAAACACCTTCTAATTGAAATCTACTCCTTTAAATTTACTTTCAAATTTTATTTTAATTTAATCTTTTTCTTTTAAAATTTATTTTAACTTCATACAATACCCACAGCTGTGCTCCAGGCATGATAATTTGTTAATTATTTGATATGTTTTTTTGCATGTGGGGATCAAATTTTCTATTGTCATAAGTTTTGAGTTCTGTGAAAATGCTCGTGTGAAGAATTCATCTTCAGATTTGTAACAGAATCTTTAAATGTAGTTTAACAGTTATTATGGAGAATCCAGATTCTGTTTAAGTCTGAATTGCTTGAAATGGAAATAATGTTGGCCATGAGAAGAATAACATTATTTTATGAAATGAACAGAAAAAGTTAGTGACTTATCTCATAGTGTTTATATGTTGTCCCACTACATGTTTAATTTGAATAAGTATTGTAACCATCTTTTCAGTTTCATCTTTATTTTTTATCCTTCCTAATGACCATACCTTAAGAAATTATCTAATCTTTGACATCTTCAGGATATAGGAAGATTGTTTTTGCTGAAATGACCTTTTCTTATTCATTGAGATCATTTGATTGGGATGATGGAAGAATATTATCCACTTCTTCTAACACTGAAGACAGTCATTTATTCACAGCTCTTCTACAGAGTTTAAAGTTTCTGTATTTAAACACTGTCATAAGGAAAAAAAAAGTGCTCAACTTTATGCAGAAGGTGCATTGAGTGCACACTACCACAGGAATAGGAAGGCTACCAAGAAGCCTTGGCTGATCAAGAATATATTATGGTTAAGATTTACTTATAAAGATTTCATTAAAATGTCTTTATGTATAGGTATACAATCCATGTAGATATATAATCTATGTAACAAACGTATCTAATGTAAAATATGAAGAAATACAATGCGTATCTGGTACCATTTTTAGTTTCCTCCTTATTTTAGACTCCATATTTGTCTGTAAAACTGGAAGCTCGTTCTTGATATCTAGAAAATGTTCTGCAACTACAGCACTCTCCAACTTCTTGCAGCAATTTACAATCCAAACTGCTCTGTACTTTGTGTGATAGTGAAAAGCCATGAGTTTATTTCAGTTTTTTAATGAAGCTCTCAGTAATTTATACAGTCAGGTGGTACTATCCAGAAACTACTACTTCTCTGCATAGTGGCTTAGAGTGCTTCCTAGCTAAATAGATATTCATAGCCACTTGCTTTGTTCTGTACTGTGACCGATTACCACTGAGAAATCAAGGCTGATAAGGAGAGAGCCTTGGTCAAAATTTCTGATGCTGCAAGATCAGTCCATACGGACAGAACTATGAAGCAGCTCAATTCCATCTGTTTTTATCATTGAGAGTCACAGCACTTGATATGTTTTTGTTATACCTTCTGAAAGTGTGATCTGGGAGCAGTAAGGCAGTACTTAGAAAAGTAGTAGTACCAGAAAGTGTGGGGATTGCATGTGTGTTGATATCAGTGAAGGCTGGATTCCTGCTCTGCTGTCTTATAGCGTAATGTCTTCTGAAAGAAAATAGTGTTTCCTAATTTGTTTAAATCCACGACAGGAAAGAAAAACCAGTTGCATGGTTGCATTATGCTCTGTGATAACACTTTGTATGCCTTTTGACAACTGTGCTCCTTATCTAAAGCATTTTTTGAGGATCTTATGTTATATGAAAAAACTTCAGAAATAGAATATTTTAAACTTTTTCTATACATCATATATTGTAGAGCAGTTAAAGTCAAGAGACCTCATTATGTTCTCAAGGTCATTTGCAGACATGGGAATGTGACCCAGGTTTCCATATGCTGTAATTCATAAAATCTTTGAAAATAAGAATCAAAACAAAGTATTGTAAAGGTGAGGGGGGGAGGAACTAGTAAAGTGATGAATGCTGTATTTAATTTCTACAATATTCTTCTGCTTTGTAAACTCCCATGGAGTTTCATAAACTTTGTGGAGCCGGTTCTTATTTGCACCATGTGTCTTTTGTGAGGGTCATTTGTTATTTAATTTGTTTATTCCAAGACAATAGATTGATAAACATGCCTGCTGAAACCATATACCTTTCATTTATCTGTTAAACATACTTCTTAAGTTTTCAAGTTCTGTCTTGTCAGAGGTTCTTCCTGTTAGAACCTTTCTTTCAGAAACAGGGAGTCACTTAAATCATTTGTGCATCTTTGTATTTTATAGAACTGGAACATAACTTAATACCTATAAGATTTGGCACAATTTTTCATTTCAGTTTTTGTAACACTTTTCGTGAGTTAGATTCCCGCCGCAGACAGTGGAAGCTCTGCATTCACGGAGTGTTCTTACTCTTACCTTACAGATGTAGGCGTATTTTGCTTATTTGTTTCTATTTGTGCTAAATGTTATCAAGCAAGCTTAGGTTTTATGTCAGTGATGTATTAGTGAGAGCACAGGAAGAAGGGAGGTTGATTCTACTGACACACAATTAATAAAATTGTACACAAATAATAAAATTGCTTGCCTTACCTGCTTTGTGATCACAGTATCTTACAGCCATAGAATAAGATTGCCATGACCATCAGAAGCTGAGTGCATTTGTTCAGGCTTGTTTCCAGGATCCAGCTGGTCCTTGTGGACAACTGTTTGAGCAAAAATTTTCTAACTTGCAAAGCAGCGTGTTTATAGGAAGAATTAGATCTGCTTTAAGTAGTTTTATTGTCCGAAACACAACTTAAGTCTTCATGGTGTTAAATAAAAGGGAAATAAAGGGTGGCCTTCTTTGCATTTTTCTGTTTTGTTTTGTTTCGTTTTGATTTTTGAAATATAAACACTCTGACATCTGTGTGGATGAATTTATTTTATAGCATGGCATTATAGAAGAAGTTGTTGTTCGGTAGGTAGGTTATTTTATCACCTATTCCTTGATTTGGGACTGAGGAACTGAATTTTGCCTCTCTTTGCTCTTATTGCAGCTAGAATCATCTAAAGGGACCATTCCATACATACTTTTGAATTACTTTGAATTTGAGATAATGCAGTACCTTAAAGTGATTAATAACAAATATTTAAATAAAAAAAATGATTGACCGTGCTGATATTGTTTTCTTTAATTTATTAAAAAATGTTATTTTATAGCAAAGGACAACAAATCAGAGAATATAAGTTTAAAATGTTCATATTATATAACAAATAAATTTACAGTATATTGAAGTATGTGTATTGTATGTATAACATGTACACATTCCTTTGCTCCTATTGCCCAGTTTTCTAATGGAATGGTAAGACAAGGTTTATGATTATTATGATCTGTTTTTATTTTCAGATTGAAAATCTACAGGAGCAACTTAGGGACAAAGACAAACAACTAACTAATTTAAAGGACAGAGTGAAGTCATTGCAGACAGATTCTAGTAACACAGACACAGCACTAGCCACCTTAGAAGAAGCTCTATCTGAAAAGGTAATGTGTTCTTATGCAACAGCACATAATGTGCTGCTCCTGCAGGTGAAGCATGTTCAGAAAATGTCTTTTTCAGTTGGTCTGGCACCTGTAATGATGCCTATGGGCATTGTCAGGAAAGCAGGTGGGCTCTGTTCTGGCATGAGGGACAAGGAGTGATTCCTGACTGATGGTGTGAAATGGAATTCTGAGATATCAAAGGGTATCCTTTTAAATGGGGATAGAGTAATGTCCCAAGACACATTACAATTTTCCCTTTCTGGATGGAGGGAATGCTTTTTTCCTGCATAAACTGAAAGGCATGGATACCTGCCTTTGATAGAAGGGAGAGAATGAGGTATTTTGATGGCTTTGTGATCTTCATTATCCTGTTATTTTGCTTGGTAAACAGACCCAAACTAAAGAGCCAACAGCAATTGACAGCTACTCCCATGGCACTCTCAGAACCACTGGTTCACTATGCTTAAGGTATAACAGAAACTGGAATTTATATTAGAAACAAAACTGAATGAGAAACAACAAGAATCCTGGAGAATTACTTCCAACTTTCCTACCCCTCCACCTGCCCTTTAAAAGCTACATGCTTTTGAACAGAAGCTGGCCCACCCATTTCAGTAAGGTTTTTTCCTACCAGTTTACTTTGTATAGGAGGAGTGAATTTATGCAAAAAATACCCAACCAAAAAATACAAATAAATACTCAATTTTTTTGCATCTAACAGATCTTCATAATACCACTTCAGTGTGTACAGGTGAGCTCAACTAATTGAAACATGATGTGCCATTTTGCAGTGTGTACTACAATGACAGCATTCATGGCTACGTAAGAGTTTAAAATGTCACTGTGATGTTGGTATTAGCACCTACATTGCTGATTAATTTTTTTATTTCTTTGTGTTTAATCATCTTTGCTTGGTAGATAACGGGAAAAACAGCATTTCTAGTAATTTCTGTTAATTCATATGGATGATTTTGGAAATCAGAGATCTGGACACAGCATATTATAAGTAAATGTCAGGAATTGCTTTTTAATTTGCTTTTCTTCTTGGATATCATCTGCTCTAAATTAGTCTAAGTTATCAATTTCTTGATCTGCCCATAGAATTTAAAGCACTTCTCTAACCATTGTTCTACTGATGTCAGTATAGAAAGCAGAGTTAAACTTGTTAGTAGTTCTCCTTGGCACTTGAGCATGTGCACCATCGGAAGCCAAAGGAGTCATGTATCCCACATTTTGCCTCAGTTATATATGTTCAAAGAGAAAATGCAGTTGAATCTTTGGCCTACTTCTTCCTACTAGAAATAGAAAAGTTGAAGAAATACCGAGTTAAGATAAAGTGAAAATTAGTGAGTGATGGAAGTTAACTGTTTTCATGCCTTTTTATACCAGTGTCATTCTAAAATTTAATGAAATAAGTATAGAAGCTTTTATGATTTTTGAGATGTTTTTAATATAATGTGAAACTAAATATTCTATTAATCTCAGATATAGAAACTAAAATTTCACTAAATTCAAGATGCAGTATTTTTTAATACAGCAATGTGGAAAGTTGGGCTATAGATTTTCTTTCCACATGTGAAAAATTAAATGTAATGAACACTTCAGATCCTGATCTGAATTTTCAGATTTCTGAAATGAAGATTCAAATTCTTTTTAATGATGGTAGTTTTACTGTTTTGGAAAAGTTAGATTATCTTTGAATGCTAGATGCAAATCCTCTGATTTTTTTTTTTTTTTTTTTTTTCATTTTGTGTCTACATTTGGAATTTCATGGATATATATGGGCAGATACTTTTTAAAAGCAAAGTGATTAGTTTTTTCTTTTCTTTTTTTTTTTTTTTCTTTTTTTTTTTCCAAGCGGCATTGAGGAGAACTTGCATGGATTCTCTAAGGCTGAATTCAGTACAAATTAGTCACTTACTTAAATAAAGTCAGTGATGAAGACAACAGTATTATTTTGCAAGACATCGCTTTTAAGAAATGTCATGAAGCTGAATTGTGTTGTGGTATTTGATGACTGTTTCAGTCACTTAAGCAGTGCTATCTTTGTAAGTCTGCAAGCTTCATTGAGGCCATGCTTTCAAGGGTAGGTTTCTCAATCTTAAGTGTAGTCTCTGGGACATGTTTTTATACATTAAAAGAAACCAGTAAGCTTCTTCTGGAAGTTCTAAATGAGTTGTGATGTATAGATTCCTTATTTCTTTTGGAATTAATACCTTGGCAGTTTATTTTCACATTGATGTCTCATCTTTAACTGTATCCAATTTTTCAGTTTATCCTAGCTGCTTCTCAGTTTTTAATATCAGCAGACTTTATCAATTTATTAACTTTTTCCACTGCAAATACAGTTAGAAATACAGAACAAATTTTTGCCCAAAACAAGAACACTTGATTGTAGTTTCTTAGTAACTTCTTAATCTTAAAATAATTATAATAAGTAAATTATCAATTTAAATTTGCAGTGCTGTCAAGCAAGAATGCTGCTTTCATTCAACAATACAGAATTTCTAAGGACGTACAATGATTGTCAGTGTTTATATACCCCCTATTTCTTTACAGGTTAAATCCTCTATAAGCTAATCCCTTCCCCCACTCTAGAAATGACATCAGACCTATTTTGCAGCTACATCTTGTCTGATGTTACACACAGCTTTTGACTTTACCTTCATTGTTAAATTCCCTGGTTGTCAGAATTTTAGTTTGTACACAAATAAATAAAAGTCCATGAGATTTGGGAAGAGCTACATTGGGAAGATCATTTAAAATGGAGCTGAAATTTATTTATATCAGTTTAATTAACCAGAGTTCACTAATACTAATTTTAGTTCCTTATTTTATGCAAATAAGAAAAATTAAAACTGGATCATATAATGAAATTATATGATTTTGAAGCTCTTCAAGTACTATGAAGTATTATGAAGCTCTTTTTAAAGTTTCAAAATGGAAATGTTTCATTGTTTTTGAAAGTACTCAGACTGAGATTTAAGCTCTGAACAAGAAAATAGGACTTCTAACTCTTCATGAAAGGTAGATTTTCTCAAGTATCTCTCTCCAATGTTCTTTCACATTATGAGATTAGATAGCTTGGATGTACTATAGATGTATAAACTAATCAAAATTTTCTGTAGTGAACTGTAATCTTTATTGTTCAAATGCTATTGCTGATGTCATTTTTTCTCTTTTGGGAATCAGAAGTGAACCAATACAATTTTAGGCATTTTTGAGCACATTTAGAGCTCACCGAAAAAATGTACTCTTCCAATTCCTTACACATAAGCTTAGAGACTCTCCAGGTGCTGAAAATTCTTGACAATGTAGATTGCATTGCAATAAACCAAAAATAAATTCACTCCTCTTAAAAAACAAATAAAAATTCAACTTTAAAATATGCAGAAATGCTATCAGCTCCCTTGATGTTTTAACAAGAAACTTTTCAAAGAATATCTCAGCTCTTGCGCTGGTCCAAAGCAGCTCAAGAGGCTGCTTTCATGAAGCTGATATTCATAAAGTTGGTCCTACTGTAGCAGCATACAGAAGATAAGCAATTGAGTATGCCTGATAATAGAGCTATATGCTGTGGCAATTCAGTTCCTGCTTCTGTGATAAAGTGCAAATAGATTAGACCTGTGAGGTCCTAGATTAGTGCATAGGAAAGCTTGCCAATGCAAATAAGACTGAAACAAGAACACATTGTTGGGATTTCTGTAAGCTAGTTGTTAATCAAATAAAACATGGTATATTAAGGCCTTTTAACACATGTTTTTGACATTTAGCTTTATGCAGCTGACAAGCAAATCAGTCTTCTTTTGTGATTGAAGAAAAATGTATACTATTTTATTAATAAAATGAAATAAGTGCTTGTTTAATTTGTTTTAGAAGAAAAAATACTGTTGTGTAGCTTAGAATTTACTCTATGAAACAGTGGCATTGTGCTCAGTACATCTGCTGTAGTTTCTATGGAAATAAAAAGGAGGCATTATTTTCAGAGCGATCTATGTGTATGAACATTTCCGTATGAAATCCTGCCAGGTGTTGGTACAGCCTTGGAAACACTTAATTACACAGAGCCAAGCATTTTTCAGTTTTGGCTACTTTTGTTTTTTTTTTCCCCTCTAAGGAGAACGTAGTATGTCATCATTGTATTTTTCTTTCTAAGTAAAATTAAAAAAAGGTCTATGATTTTCAAATATGGCAGTCTTTGCTATTTTATGTGAAGATTTTCACAGTAATGCTAATTCTCTAAGCAGGTATGTTCCGCTAGCTAAGTCTTGTGAATGGAATTCCTCTTGTCAGGGGAATACTGGATACAAAAAGAAAGCGGCAGCATGATTTCAGCTTTTTGAAAAGGTTTTCCTCAGGAATTCAGCAACACAAAATAACTGTTCCAGTAATCATATTACAAGATTATTCAATACAGTGCTGATTGTCTTCCGATGTATTGAAGAGATTCCAAATACATTTGCAATCATAAGCATAGATATTTAGTAAAGATCTTAATCTGATTATTTAAAAACTCCTAATAATATACAACATTATAACACATGTGTGATGTGCTTTTTATTCCAAATATTGGTAAAATAAAGAATAACAACTGGTAGCCAATGTTACATAACTGGAAGGAAAAAAAATAATTTGGAGCATAAATGTTTGAATTGAATTGGTTCTACAACGGGAACCAATATAGAACATATTTTGCACCTAAGTCTAGTTTCGTGTCCAAAACCAGATTAGTCATTTAGCAAATGACATTTGTCATTTACATCTATATTCTGTTTATACTCCATGTCTGCTTTCAGTATTTGATCTGTAGCAACCTGTAGCACATAATAATTTGTTTACTGTTAAGACATAACACAAAAGGAAGTTTATTTTTAAACATTTAAAGTAAGAGCATAGAACTATAAAAAAATGAAATTGAACTTGAAAGCCAAACATGCTTAATTGCAAATACAGTGGAGTCTACAGTTAGCTTTTAAATAAGTAACAAATATTAGAAATTCCAAATAGATTAACATCCCTTTGAGAAGCTGAATGTTTTGCCGAATGGATTGGTAGAATGTGATTTTGATGAATATAGTCAAGACTTAACAAAACCCATACTAACGCTTTTAATTTTTTGCATTTACCTTTTAAAATTAATTGTCCAGTTACCAACTGGTGATTTCAGCAGTCCTTATAGCCAATATAAGTCAGCAAAATATTGAAAAACATGGCTGAATTTAAACATGCAGGGTCACTATCAATTTGATAGAGAATGGATATCGTAAATTGGGTAGGATATTTTTTCTGTATTTTAGACAACTTACAGTGATTGATTTCTGGTTATATTTGGAGTCATTAAAACTCATCTTGCAGCCTGTATAGAGGCTACTAGCAATCAAAGCAACCAAACTCAATCTGAGCAAACCAGTCATGCCTTTCTGTTTTGAACTTATATACAAAGACTTCAATCACTTACAAATACAGGAAATACATTACTGAGTTGAATAACTTTCTGTGTCTGTCACAACATAAGGCACGCCCAGGGCAGCATAAGTATTTAATGCAGTTTCTGTGCTATGATACCCTCAACAAGTATTTTAAATCTTGATCTGGAGTTATTGACAGAAGAAATCTTCCATTGACTTCAATATCATAAACTTTAATATTCCTCTGTTTCTGAAGGCTGTTTTTTCTAATTGCTATTTAATGTAAAGAAATTTTATTATACTTTGTCTTAAAATGATACCCAACTTTTGCATTTTGCTATTCTTTCCCTTTTTAGGAAAGAATAATAGAACGCTTGAAGGAGCAAAGGGAGCGAGATGACAGAGAAAGACTTGAAGAAATTGAATCTTATAAAAAGGAAAACAAAGACTTGAAGGAGAAAGTTAATGCTTTACAAGCTGAACTGACAGAAAAAGAGGTCAGTCTTCACAATAAAATCTATATTCTTCTATGTCATGGTGATGAAAGGGAGTGCATTAGGATTACTCTTGAATCATTTAAAGTACTGAAATTTTGCCACTTCAACGGCCAGCTTCTGAACTGCTGTTTTCTTAGGCATTCTTCATAGTCCTCACTTCTGTGCATAAAATATCGCTTCACTTTTTGCATAGATGTGTATTGTCTTCTCTACATTTCCCTCTCCATAAGCATTCAGAAGGCTCAGAGATTACATTGTTGCTTGTTTTCACTTGTCAATCAGATCAATAGACTTCAAAATAATTGCACCTCCAGAACATAATGTCAATTAGCCTGTATTATGAATGTTTCTGTGTTTCACTATATGCCAGCTCCTGTGGTTCTGTCAGTTGTACTCTTAAAATACTGTCTTTGGCTATAAACGCTTATCTTTGTGTCAACTCTTTTTGGGGAACTGGGGGGAACAGCATCAAAGTGATTAATAAGATGGCAATAAGTTAGTGTCCCGGTGACTAGGAATTAACTTTTTGCTCTTGGTCATTTTTCAGTCTAGTTTAATCGATCTCAAAGAACATGCATCTTCATTGGCATCAGCAGGGCTGAAAAGAGACTCCAAACTTAAGTCTTTAGAAATAGCCATAGAACAAAAGAAAGAAGAGTGTAGTAAGTTGGAAGCACAGTTGAAAAAGGTAAGTTCCATCTTAAAAACAAACAAAATCTAGCCATAATCAGGAAAAAAACAAACCCTGCCAAAAGATACAAAACCTCTTATTTTGAATAGATTGACTAACTTACTCTTCTAGAGTAATTCTAAATCTACCCATACTGTTTGCTGATGCTTGCATAAAATACTTTTAACTTTTAAGAGACTTTTACCAGAGCCACTAGAAACCTCCAAAATTATATTGAATGCCTCTGTGAGAGAATTCTGAGAATCTGGGGCAAATCAGTGAACTGGGAACAGGATGTTGGAGGGAAAGTAGAAAGGCGGAGAGAAATTATCAGACCAGCAATTTGTATATGAATTAACTTATACCTTGATTAGAAGTAAATGGAAATGCTTATAGCATAAGAAATAATTAAAGAAGCACTTTCTAATGAAAAAAGTCTGCTTCTAAGATGGAAATTCTAGTTAAACTTTATTTCCGCATTCTTTGGCTTTGTTGACGTATGTGTGTTTGTGATAATAAAGCAAAATAGTACAAAGCTTATTTCAGCTATCAGTTCATTATTTCAATTCAGGTAGTGGAAGCAAGCAGCTGAAGGAAAACATACAAATGCTGTATTTTATAATGTGGTTTCATTTAAATGTATGCGTTAATTTATGTGTTACAATATTCTTTGCTTAAATGATTTGCAAGTTCGCTTATGCCGTTTCTAGCATACATTGTTTCTTTGTTTTTTTTCTGTGTCATTGGTAATGTCTGCTCTCTGTTCAAATGCCAATGTCATGATGTGTTTGATGGGTTTAGGCAGTATGTTTGCCTTCTGCAATTCTTAAGTGTGGAGCAAACATTGATTTTTGATGTTTCATTTTCTAGAAAAGTGTTCATTTATTCTATGAATGCTGCCACTATTTGGATAATATTCTGAATTTTTCTTTTTGACGCAGGTTGAGTAGTACTGCTCTTTAAGCAGGATTTTGGTACAAGATTGTTGAAGGGTATTTACATTAT